TAGCTGTAGTTCTTTTAAAATATGGCCTTTGTTGTATTAAGGAGGTTTTCATCTCTTCCTACTTTGTTGAGAGTTTTTGAATTTCTACATCAGTCAAGATGATCATGTGTTGTTGTTTTTTTCACTAATTCTCTGTGGTGTATTACATTGATTGATTTTGTATGTTGAACCCTCCTTGCAGGTCATGAATAAATCCTATTTGGTCATAGTGTATAATCCTTTTAATATGCTGCTGAATTTAGTTTGCTTCTATTTGTCGAGGGTTTTTGCATCTATATTCATATGAGATATCGGTGTATAGTTTCTTTTCTTGTGTATCTGTCTGACTTTGGTATCAGGATAATCCTGGCCTCATGGAATGAGTTAGTTTGTGTTCTCTCTTCCTCAGTTTTTTTGGGAGAGTTTAAGAAGGATTATTCTTGAAATGTTTGATAGCATTCAGCAATAAAGCCTTCTGGTCCAGGATTGTTCTTTGTTGAGAGGTTTTTATTACTGATTAGATCTCTTTACTCATTAATCTGTTCACGTTTTCTATTTCTTCATGATTCAATCTGGGTAGGTTGTGAATTTCTGGGAATTTGTCTGTTTCATCTAGGTTATCCAATTATTTGGCATACAATGATTCATAGTATACTCTAATGATCTTTTTTAATTTCTGTAAAATTAGAAGTAATGTCCCAATTTTATTTTTGATTTTAATAATTTGAGTCATGTCTCTTTATCTTTTTTTTTTTGGTCAATCTGGATAAAAGTTTGTCAACTTTGTTCATATTTTCAAATTTGTTGAAATTTTTAAAAAATTTTGGGTTCATTTATTTACTCTATTGCTCTTATCCATTTTATTTTTCTACTTTCATCTTATTTTCTTACTTCTTCTGGTCTTGGGTTTAGTTTTCTTTTCCAGTTCGCTAAGGTGTGAACTTAGGTTGTTGATTTACGATCTTCTTTGTTAGTGTAAGCATTTTTTTTTAACATCTATAAATTTTCCTCTGACCATGCTTTCACTGCATCCTGTGAGTTTTGTTGTGTTGTATTTTTGTTTTCATTTGCCTCGAGGTATTTTCTACTTTCCGATCTTTTCTTTGACCTATTGGTTGTTTTAAGAGTATGTTGTTTTCAAATATTTTGAAATTTTCAGCTTTCCGTTTGTTAGTGATTTCTACTTTTATTATATTGTCATTAGAAAAGGTACATTTTATAATTTCAGTCTTTTTAAGTGTAATAATACCTATTTTGTGGCCTAACATATTGTCTATCCTGGAGATGTTCCATGCACACTTGAGAAAAACGTATATTTTATTGTTGGGTGGTGTTCTCTATATATGTAAGTTCAATTGGTTTATAGTGCTGTTCAAGTCCTCTATTACTTTACTTTCTGTCTGGTTGTTCTAGCCATTATTGAAAGTGGTATGTTGAAGTCTCCAGCTATTATTGTAGAATTATTTCTCCCTTCATTCCTGTAATTTTTGATTCTTATTTTGGAGCTCCGATGCTGATGCCTGCATGTTATAATTGTTATACTTTCATGGTAGATCGACCCTCTTTTCAACATATGATGTCTTTCTTTGTCTCCTGTAACAGTTTTGATTTCAGTCTATTTTGTCTGCTATTATTATAGCTACCCTACCTCTCTTTTGGTTTGCATGGAATATCATTTTTCCCTCTTTTCGCTTCAACCTATTTATGTCATTGGATCTAAAGTGAGTCTCAACAACATTCTTGACTACCATAATTTAAGTAGTATTTGTAAAACACTCTACTTAATAATTGAAGAATACACATTGTTTTCAAGTGCACTGGATAGACCAGATATTTGAAGTAATACGGTATAGAACATCAAAATGGAATTAAATTGTAGATTTAATAAATGTAATACATCTAGGAAAAAGCAAATATTTGGAAGAAGACCATATATTAAGTCATAAAATAAGTCTCGATAAACTTAAAAACATTGAAATAATACAAAGTGCATTTTTCTGATAAGAGTGGATAGAAAATTAAAACCCAGTAATAGTATGATATCTAGGAACACTCCAGTAGTTTGGTAATTAAACAGCAAACTCATAAATAAACAGTAGATCAAAGAATAAATAACAGAAGAATTAGAAAATATTTTAACCTGAATAATAGCGAAAATACAACTCCTCAAAATCGCTGATATACACTTAAAGCTGAGCTTTGAGGCATATTTATAGTTTTCAATGACTCTTATTAAAAACGAGGACAAATAATCAGGTATCTTAACATCTTGCTTAAGAAGCCATAAAAAGAGCAATTTAAAAGGGGTGGGGGGGAAGAAGAGTTTTTTTTGAAAGAGAGAAAGAAAGAAAAAGTTTATTTTTCATTGAGGCATAATTGACATTTAACATTTTAATATTAGTTTCAGGAGAAGAAAAATGAATCAGTAGTTGTATACATTATGAAATGATCATCACCATAAGTCTAGTTACCGTCCATCACCATATGTAGTTATAAAAAATTTTTTTCCTTGTGATGAGGACTTTCAGGATCTTCCATTCAGCAACTTTCAGACACACAATACAGTGCTGTTAACCGCAGTTGGCATGCTGTGTGTCACAGCCCCAGGACTGACTTACAACTGGGAGTTGGTACCTTGGACCCCTTCTCCCGCCTCTGGCAACTACTAGTCTGCTCTCTCTCTCTATAAGCTTGTTTTTGTTGTTTGTCTCATTGTTTAGATTCCACATATAAGTGAGATCATATGGTATTTGTCTTTCTCTGTCTGACTTCTTTCACTTAGCACAATGCCCTCCAGGTCCACCACAACTGAAATGGGTTATGTAATATCATCGTGCCCAATTTATAGAGGAGGAAATCCAGGGTCAGATTGGACCGTGGACTATGAATGATTTTGATGTGTAGGATTGTCAGTTGTAACACATATACCACCTTGGGGGTGGGGGATTGTTGATTAGAGGGGAGTCTATACACACGTGGGTGTAGTGGGGCTATGGGAGATCTCTGAAACTTCCCCTCAATCTGAAAATTAAATGAGATAACATTTGTGAATGAGGTTTGTATAATTACGTAGATTTACACACTCGCTTTGTGTTAAACCTCTCACAGGAGTACCAGCTCATGATAGGACTCAGTAACTGGATGCTCTGGGCTGCCTACTTCTTCACATTCTTCACGCTGTATTTGATTATCATCTTTTTGATGTGCCTAATTTTCTTCATCAAGGCAAGTGTCCGTCTGACTGCAGCATGCTACAGTTAAACTTTAAGCAGGGTACAGACCTGGTGCAGGCCTCGGGGATTCAGATTGCCAGCGGGTGAACACATACGTGCCTGCCTAGTACCTCAGCAGTCTAGACTTTAAACCTAGATGTGTGGACCTTCTGCAGTTAGTGAATTATTTACTCTCCATCTCCCTGAGCGTCATCGTCCTGTTCACAGGACCAGTAAAATATTTCCAGACGTTTCATTTCTCCTCTTTTGTTTTGTTCTGACACCACTTTGAGTGTGACTAAACTGGCTTCCTGATTGTTTCGCTAGATGAAACCTTTGCCGATCATCCAACACAGCGACCCATCTGTTGTCTTTGTCTTTTTGGTGTGTTTTGCCATCGCCACAATATTCTTCAGCTTTATGGTTAGCACCTTCTTCAATAAAGGTGAGTCTAAAACTCCTGGGCAACATTCCCAGTGCCTAGAGAGGATTATATTTGGAGGCTCCTTCTGAACTTCTAGTTGCCACCTCATCTCTAGCCTCTGTCTACCGGAAAGACAAATATCAGACACACATGAAATTATTTGAAAGGGAAGGAAGAGAGCATTAAAAATTAATACAGCATAATAAACATGTGAATAAAGGATAAAAACCAAAGTAAGATCATATTTACATGTTCTTTCTAACCTTTAGCTGCTAAATAATGTATGGTACCTGTTGAATCATCTACCAGGAAGGGTTGAGATTGAGACAACCTCTCTATATTCTGTTGGAGGGACTGAAGTCTGCCAGAATCTGATGATGATGCTGTAATATGCGAACAGGAAGAAAACAACAAATTACTTGACTGAAAGAAAGGGTCCGTGCACTCAATAGATACTTATTGTGTGATCCCCGTGTATTTGAAATATAGTGCTTGCCCCTGTAGATCTGACATTGATCTTGGGGACATGAATCTCATATGCACAAAAAATGATTTGACAGGACATGCAGAAAGCAATGAAAATTAATGGAGCATAGTGTACGCATGAAAGAAAGATTAACATACTCCACCTTAAGACTGAAGTTGAGATAAACCTGAGAATGCTTGCTGTAGAGGTTAGTTTTTAAACATTATTGAAAGATCGGACGACTAGGAAGTCAAGTGACATGAAAGCATTCATTCATTCATTCATTCATTCATTCATATCTTTGTGCTGGCACAGTCTCTAATATACAAAGCAAATAAATATCGTTTCCTTGTCATTTGAGGGCTAGGATGCCAAATAGCAGGCATGACCAAATAGATCTATTTCCTTTTTACTTTTCTCTGTACATTTTCATGGGTATTATTCGTTGATCGGTCCTCACAAGGCACAGGATCATGCATACAACCTACAAACGGCCAAAATAAAATAAAATAAAAAGATGCTAAAGGTAAGTAGAATGTGATATGCCAAAGAGAAAAATAAGTAGAAAACAAATACCGGTGTTTCATATTTTTGACATTATGGCAGAGTAGATAGATATTCTGAACATTTTCTGCGTGTCTGCTGGTACATAAGTGCAAGACTTTCACACTGATGCGTACTTAAAATGGAACTGCCAGGCCATGGGGTTTGTGAGTGTCCAACCTGACAATGTCCAATGCGCGTGCCGTCCCACTGGAAGAAGGCGCACATTCCTATCGATCTATATCTTTACCAACATTTAGTATCATCAAACTTTCATTTGTGCCTCGTTAGAGATATGGAATGTTATCTTATGGCAATTCAAATATGCATTTACCCAATTACTAATGAAGCTGAGTATGTATTATTAATATGAGTCACATGTGTTTCTTTTTCTATAAAGTCCGTTAATGCATTCTTTAATAATTATCGATTAACAGGAGTTCTTTATATATCCCTGCTACCTAATTTTCATTAGTCGTACATGTGTTCCAAAGCTACTCCCAATTGGGAGCCTTTAGTGCTTTTTATGGTATCTTTTAATAGCTACTAATTTTAATGTTATAAAATTTGCCTTCATAGCTTGTGACATTAAGTATTTCAATAAAAAGTCATTTTCTAGTCTGAGGTCATAGATTGTATCCTTATGTTCTATATGGGGATTGATTTTTCCTGTGTATGGTATAACATAGCAAATTTATTTTCTTCCTAAGTGCATAGGCAACATTGCCTATGTCCCAGCAACGTTTCACGGACAGGTCACTTTTCTCTTACTACTCGTCAGTACCTGCTCTGTTATAAGTCAAGTTCTCATTCGTGTGTGTATTTCTTTGGGGACTATCCTTTCACTGATCTATTTCTTCATGTTAGAAGCATACTCATAGCATTTTAGTTATTACAGCTTCATAATAAATCTCACCTCGTAGGGTAAGACCTAATTTGTTCTTTTTTCTTGAAGTATGTCTTTGACCATTACTGTCCCTTTGCATCTCAGGATGCGTTTTACTTATTTATTTAATAATTTTTAATTTTTTCAATTACAGTCGACATACAACATTGCATGAGTTTTGGGTGCTTATACATTTACATAACTGTGATTATACATTTACATAACTCACCAAGTGATCACCCAGATAAATCTAGTCCCTATGTGACACCACACACAGTTATTACACTACTGTCAACTATACTGTCTGTGCTCTACTTGACATCCCGATGACTGTTTTGTAACCACCAGCTCATACTTTTCGATCCCTTCCCCAATCCACCCTACCTCCAACTCCCTCCCATATGACAACTATTTTCAGTACCCACTGTCCCCTTAGCTCCCAGCAACCCCTAATCTGCTTTTGTTTTTACGAGTTTGCCTATCTGGATAGTTCATATAAATGGAATCAATAGATGGCCTTCTGTGTCTGTCTTCTTTGACTTAGCGGAATGTTTTCAAGATTCATCCATGTGGTGGCCTGTGCCAGTATGTAACTTCTTGTTATAAAGAGTAACATATCACTGAATGGGCGTGCCACACTTTGCTCATCTGGTCATCCCCTGATGGACATGTAGACTGTGCCCCCCTTTGGCTATTGTGAGTAGTGCTCCTATAAACATTCGTGTACAGATTTTTGTTTGTGCCTATGCTTATAATGATTTTGAGCGTAAACCTGGAGTGGAATGGTTTGGTCATATGGTAATGTGTGCTTAACTTTTTTGAGGAACCACTAAACCGGTTTTCACAGCTGCCACATTTTACATTCCCACCATCAAAGAGTAGGCTAATGATCTCTCCTCACCCTTGCCACCCCTGTACATTTTATTTTCATTATAACCATCCAAACGGGTGTATAGTGATATCTCAATTGTGATTTTCATTTGCTTTTCTCTAATGACCAATGATGTTGAGCATCTTTGCATGTGCTTGTTAGTAATTTGTGTATCTTCTCTAGAGGACTGTCTATTCAAGTCTTCGACCATTTTTTAATTGAATTTTTTTGTGTTTTTGTACTGTAACAAGAGTTATTTATATATTCTGGGTACTAAACCTTTACCAAATATGTAATTTCCAAATGCCTTTTCAGTCTCTTAATAGTGTCCTTAACAGAAGTTCTTAATTTTGAGGAACTCCAATTTATCTGGTTTTTTTTTCTTGTGTCATGTGTACTTTTGGTGTCATAGTTAAGAACCGATTTGCCGAACCTGGGGTCATGAAGATTTACGCATACGTTTTCTTCTAAGAGTTTCATGGTTTTAGCTGTTAGATTTATGACTTTGATTCGCTTTTTAGTGTTTATATGTGGTGTGAAATAAGGGTTGCAATTCATACTTTTCATTTCAACACCCAGTTGTCTCAGCACCATTTGTTGAAGAGATTGTTCTTTCCCGTATTGAGTGGTCTTGACACCAATGTCAGGAATCACTTTAAAGCATATATGTAGGACGTCTGATGCAAGTCTTTTATTTCCAGACTCTCAAATCTATTTCAGTGGCTTATATGTCTATCTTTATGTTAGAAACACACTCTTAATTACCACAGCTTTGTAGTAGATTTTGAAAGTGGGAAGTGTGAGCCTTCTAATTTTGTTCTTTGTTTTGGTTGTATAGGTTCCTATTGAGTTTTAGGATTGACTCTTCTATTTCGGAAAAAAAGGCCATTGCGATTTTGATGAGAGATGGCAGTAAATCTGTATGTCGCTACGGGGAGCATTGCCATCTTAATATTAAGTCTTCCAATTCTTCAAAGAATTTTTGTGGTTTTCAGTGTATACTACTTGCACTTCCTTGGTTTAATAATATTCATATTTCTCTTTGTGCTCTTATAAATGGAATTCCTTTTTAATTTTATTTTTAGATTGTTTATTGCTAGTGTATAAATATTCAGTTGATTTTTGTGTATTGATCTTGTACTCTGCAACAATGCTGAATTTGTTTATTAGTTATAGTAGATTTTTTGTAGGTTCTTTAGGGACTTTCTACATATAAGATTATGTCATCTGAGAATAGAAAAATAGAAGTAAGTTTACTTTTTCCTCTCCAATTTGGATGCCTTTTATTTCTTTTTCTTGCGTAGTCACTCTGGCTAGAACTTTCAGTGCAGAGTTAAATAGAAATGGTGAGAACAGGTACCGTTGTCTTGTTTCTGGTCTTAGGGGGGAAAGTTTCAGTCTTTAGCCATTAAGTATGATATTAGCTGTGAATTTTTCATAATACCCTTTATCATGTCGAAGGAGTTTGTTAATTTTGTTGATTTTTTTCAAAGAACAAACTTTTGTTTTTCTTGATTCTCTCATTGTTTTCCTTTCTCTCTATATATATTTTTATATCTAATCATTACTATTTCCTTCCTTCTGAAAGCTTTAGGCTTAGCTTACTCCTCTTTTTCCTGTTCTTATGGTGCAATGTTAGGTTATGATTTGAGATTTTTCTTCATTTTTAATGTAGGTCTTTACAGCTGTAAGTTTCACGCAGCACTGCCTTCACTGTATCCCATAAGTTTTGGTACATTGTTTTGGTATATTTGTTTCATTAATCTTTAAGTGCTTTCTAATTTTCCTTGTAATTTTTTCTTTGACCATTGGTTGTTTAAGAGCGTTTGTGGTTAATTTCTACACAATTGTGATTTTTTTTTAGCTGATTTCTTGCTTCATTTCATTGTGGTCAGAAAATACACTTTATAAGACTGAAATCTTTTTAAATTTATTGAGACTCGTTTTGTGGCCTAACTTATAGTCTCTTCGAGACTGTTCCATGTACACCGAAGAAGAACGTATATTATGCTCTTTTTGGATAGAGTGTTTTGTATATATCCGTTAGGTAAAGTCATCTTGCAATCCTCTATTCCAGTCCTTTCTGTTCGTCCTCTATTTACTTACTGATCTTCTATCCAGTTGTTCTCTCCATTACCGATGGGTATTGACATCTTCAACTTTATTGTAGAGCTTTCTATTTCTCTCTTCAATCTATCAGTTTTCATTCCCCATATTTTGGGGCTCTGTTGTTAAATGAATCTATGTGTCTAATTGTTATATATTTTTGATGGATTCACACTTTTATCTATATTGCCTTTGTTGTCTCCAGTTCGTCTCTTCTCATTCTCTTTAGAAATAGCACACACCTATCAGCGAATAAAATCTAAATGTTGTAGTTGGTGAATGAGCTATGTGGAGCGAGGCACGAGGCAAAGAGAGGAAGCAAGAATCACTCCTAACGCTGGGATGATATGTTTTATTTCATAATATCCAGTTTTTATTTGGAGGCTGCTTTTTAGCTCTAGATGAAGTTAATTGGTCTCTTAACAAGAATGTTTTCAAATGTTTTATCAGAGTTATATTTTTGGTACCACTTCATGTTCTAAACCATATCTGGCTCTTTGACACCAACTTCGTGTCTCCTTATTTACATAGGTACCCTTCTTTTCCCCCAGCATCATGACATAGACTGAATACCAGTCTGGATATTTTCTGATTATGCCAATAGTAGTATTTATAATATTTTATGTCGAATGATTAGTAAGTATGTAAATTTCCATTAAAATCTGTACTAGTCATAGTTACTACATGTAAAATGATAAATTCATGAAAAAATGGTTTCTTAAATATTTCATTTTCACCTTTTATTCATTCGAAAATACTTTTCCCTGCTCAGTCAATGCCAGGCATTTTACAACGTTCTGAGGATGCAACGCTGAACAAAACTGCCAAATGTTTTCTCAACGTGCTTATTTTAGTACACTCTTCTACTAGAAGACATGTATTTGTATTTCAGGTTTTTGCAGATTGCTTAAGCTGACCTTATATTTTCCTTCTTATTTGCAGCAAGTTTTGCTGTATCTATTGGCGGCTTCATTTATTTTGCCACCTACTTTCCAGCTGCTAGTATCTCTTCAAATTTCGCAGAGATGCCACTCATCCAGAAGCTGGCTTCCTGTCTCAGCTCGAATATTGTAATGGCACTGGGAACTAAATTCTTAGTCAGGGCAGAAATAGACAGTGAGTATTTAACTTGTAAATTTTGCCCTGTTCTCATAGGATATTTGCAGTTTTAATATTACTGATGTTGCTAAACTGTCCTTCCAAAGAATCATGCTGTTTTCTACCAGTACCGAAGGTCCACGAGGGCTTCTTTCATCCATTTTCCATCAGCATAGTATCTATGCAGAAATCCCTCTAGTCTTCTGTGGTTAACATCCATTTCAACTTCTCAATGATTACTTTTTTCTATAATTATATTTAGCATGAGATGGAGAGTGAGGAGGAGCCACTGTCCAAACCCATAGGTCTGCTTATGTTTCT